ATATATATATTACACACACACAAAGTATTCAGACTCCCTTCACTTTGGTTATGTTGCAGCCTGATACCACAGTTGTTTAAATTATTATTTTTTTAATCGTTAATCTACACTCGGGTACCCCATAATGACAACGGATAAAAGAATTTTAGAAATGTTTGCAAATGTATGAAAAAGTAAAAACTGAAATATCCCATTGGCATAAGTATTCAGACCCTTTCCAACAACTTAAAATTTAGCTCAGTTGCCTCCCATTTCTCTTGATCATTGCTGAGATGTTTCTACATCTTGATTGGAGTCCACCTTGGTAAATTACATTGATTGGACATGATTTGGAAAGATGCACACCCCTCTATAGAGAAAGGCGTCACAGCCGACCATGCATACTGTATCAGAGCAAAAGCCATGGAGGTCAAAGGAATTGCCTGCAGAGCTCAGAGACAGGATTATTGAAAGTCACAGATCTGGGCCACTCTAAAAATTTTTTTTTTTGCTACACTGAAGGTTCCCAAGAGCACCGTGGCCTGCAAAATTCTCAAATGGAAGACGTTTGGCACAACCAGGACTCTTCCAAGAGCCGGTCACCCAGCCAAACTGAGCAATCGGGGGAGAAGGGCCTTAGTAAGAGAGGTGACCAAGAACCCGATGGTCACTCTGACTGAGCTGCAGAGATCCTGTGTGGAGATGGGACAAAGTTCCAGAAGGACAACCATCATTGAAGCCCTCTGGCCTTCATGGCAAAGTGGCTGGAAACACATGAAAGCCCGCTTGGAGTTTGCAAAAGAGCACCTGAAGACTCTAAGACTCTGAGGACCAAGCATCTCTGGTCTGATAAAACCAAGATTGAACTGTTTGGCCTCAATTCTAAACACTATGTCTGGAGGGAACCAGGCACCGCGCATCACCTGCGCAATACCATCCCAACAGTCGGTGAGGCATGGTGGTGGCAGCATCATGCTGTGGGGGGTGTTTTTTAGCAGCAGGGACTGGGAGACTGGTCAGGGTTCGAGGGAAAGTTAAACGTAGCAAAGTACAGAGATATCCCCAATGAAAACCGGTTCCACAAGACAACACAGGAGTGGCTTAGGGACAACTCTGTGACTGTCCTAGAGTGGCCCAACCAGAGCCCTGACTTGAACTGTATTAAACATCTCTAGAGACCTGAAAATGGTAATATTTAAGTACATGTGATATTTCAGTTTTTTCTTTTTAATGATTTCACAGACATTTCTAAAATTCTGGCTTCAACATAACAAAATTGAACAAAGTTAGATGCCAATTAACAATGCTTTTGCTTATTTTGCAGAAAAATAAAAAGATGAAGCTTGCAAACATTACACATCAAAAGTTACTTTTTATCAAACCCTGAAATAGAAAAGTTAACATTTTTTTTAAAAGTCTGTTACCATACTGGGAGCATTTCGAAATTCAATCCTTTGTTGTAATTTTGCTAGCAGGATTCAAGATTTAATTAAATATCAATATTTAAAATAAACACTTCTAGAAAATAACACAGAATAGCAGAAGCGCCAAACGGATTTTTGGTAGGAAAGCATGTTATTCATAAGCTGCTGTGCTCATTTCTCTTCCAGCAGAGAGACTTTGACTGCCCATACAGAGATTAGTGACATTTGACAGAAGGGTCACAAACCGTTCTGAATACTGTCAGGCTGAATAGCTGATCTGTATATTAAGCTAAGGCTGTGTAGTATGAACAGTAAAGATGAAGGCTATATTAAAAATAGCTCAAGTGCTTCTGTCCTTTAGCTGCAAAAATTCACTTGGTAAATTAGGATTCTGCAAGTATTCATTCTGTAAACTGCATCATACATTTACAGAGACGACAGGAACATGCCTAACAAGCATCTTCAGAGTCAGCTAGGTCGCAGAGTGGGAAATAAAGCAAACAAAAAAGGATCCTATATAAAAACCAGAATATCGATCGCCCCAATCACAACTGCCTACTGTCCTTAAGAGCTCAGCAGGACAGATTGAGCAGCTTCTCCACATGAGACAGACTGCAGCCTCTGCCTCCACTCTAGCACTTTGATAGGCTCACTTAGGTCCTCCAGGGAGAAAACGGTCAGGTCTGACACTAGATTTGCACCATCTGTTCCCTTTTTCTTATGCGTACAGATCAGTCAGAACTGACCAGAGCCAGCTCAGATGCTGAGGGACGCTGGATTTAGTGAGCAGCATTGTAAGACAAGGAACACATGCTTTCTGAATTATTAAAACACCACTTAAAAAGCTAAATGCATGCCTTTAGGTAAGCATAGTTCACAACCTAAAAACCAGACAATGAAACACAAAAGGTAAAAACGTGGTAATGAAAAAACTCATTTGTTCATTCTTCTACATTAATTACAATACTTTACACACTAAAAAGGAAACATTGATGCACATCACTATTGGGGTTATGCAGCAATATAGTACAAGGTGCAACAGGAAAATTAAAAGTACAGTAAACCCTAATACCTCCACAATTCATTTAACAGAGATCACCAATAAAAAGCAAAAATTAAACTAACACTTGAAAGAGTAAAATCCTGGCGTCCTCTCTGGCCCAAATCTTAAGTAAGGATACTGACCAAACAAGAGCATTAGGTTCAGATGAAAGTGTTAGAATCCAAATATAAACACATATACAAATACAGTGGGGCAAAAAAGTATTTAGTCAGCCACCAATTGTGCAAGTTCTCCCACTTAAAAAGATGAGAGAGACCTGTAATTGGCATCATAGGTAGACCTCAACTATGAGAGACAAAATGAGAAAACAAATCCAGGACAAAATCACATCTAGGCCTCTCTCATCTTTTTAAGTGGGAGAACTTGCACAATTGGTGGCTGACTAAATACTTTTTTGCCCAACTGTACATATACATAGATACTTTAAAAAAGTTTAAAACCTAGTAACTGGAATACTGACCTTCACGAACAGAGATTTTAACACCAATACATATAGGCACCACCTGCAGCCAGAATAGTTTGAGTCAGCACCAGCACTTAGGTAAGTATCTGCTCTGGATCAAAAGTGGGTAACTATGGGCATAGCGCTCTATTTTAGGTTTTTCTTTTTCTCATCTCTATAGGTTGAACTCGATGGACTTTGTCTTTTTTCAACCTAACTATGTAAATATGTAAGGAAGACACGTATTAAGCCAATAGATCAGGTGATATTTTAGTTTAGGGTCTTAACTTGTTAAAAGTATCTAAAGCCCAACTGTGGTAAATAGAGCTGTTCTCCATCTAAAATATTTGCTACCGCTTTCCACCCTGATCTAGAAAAGTTACATATAGAGTCTGATTAGCTGCTATGGGCAACAAACTCCACTGTCCCTTTAACGGCTTTAATAAAATAATCTGACAGCAACTTTTTTATTTTATTTATGATGTTCGCACAGTGTGGCGTTTTTGCAGAATCCAAATGAATAGCTTCCCATTTTCCTGAGCTGTGTGCTCCCGCTATTAAAAAATATGCTTCCCGATAGGCTTCACGTAGGAAAAACATTGGTATCAGGTTAGGTGATACCAGGGTCAGAAGAAGAGTATTGCGCCCACTGGAAGGTCAGAAAGCACAAACTAAGCCCCTGCGACAGGAACCAATATCAGACCATGACCGCCAAGCTTTTATTTTGTATGCCTCCAAGCCCTTCCTTCGTAAGACAATTACACAGACTATACTGTGCACATATTAACCTCACATAGTCAGTTGTTTGTATAGAGCCTTTGTTCTTAACGGGTGGGTCGCGACCCAAAAGTGGGTTGCCGTGTGCCTTCCACTGCATTAGGCGAGAGGCTCCTAAGCCTCCCCCAGCACAGCACTGTCAGTTTTCGCACAGAGCAGCCGTTCAAAAAGCGCTGGGGGTATGGCCACGAGGGAGCTCCATCTATACATGCATTGCTTACAGCTCCCTTGCATGCCCTGTAGAGGTGCCTGGATCGGAGTGACGTCACATTCTGGCTCCCGCCACCTCTACAGAGCGTGCAAGCAATGCACATATGGATGGAGTTCTGTCATAGCACAGCAGCCCACACTGGACCGCAGGCTGATGATCCACTCTAGTTCTCATAATGGTGGGATTAAAAAAAAAAAAAAAAACAACAATTTTTGGGAGTGTGTCCGCCAGTGTTTTTGGGGGCCTGTTCACACTAGCACAGTGCGTTAATCGCACAGACACGTACGATTAACGCACCTACTACGCATTCTGGTGCCAGGGATACGTTGCCATTCATTTGAATGGCAACCAAAATGCACCTTCCGCCCACTGTTCAATTGCCTGCACCAGAACGTGCGGAACCGCAATGCTGTGCGTTCCGGTGTGGTGGACTTGGGTCACGACTTAATGACCAAGGACAAATGTGGGTCTTGAAGTTACACAGGTTGAGAACCACTGGTATAGAGCACAGATGGCCACTGTGGTATCAAGGAATAATTTGC